TTCAGATTCTAAGGCAGAAACAGCTAATGGTGATGGGCCTTGTTGTGAAGAAGTAAGCCCAGTAGTTGAAGGCTGAGCGGGATCAGCAGTTTCAGTTTGATTGGGTGATACAGTAAGTATGTGAGTGGAGGGCTCGGTTTGAAGTTCAGGGAAAACAGAGGGTTCAGCAAAATTACCAATTGTAACATCGACGGGAAAAGGCACATGAGCCACCTTAGCTTCCACACTAACAGGAGGAGGCACCCCGCCCTGATAGCATCTAAAGAGGGAGCATGCAAATCATTTGAACCCCCTACAACTGTAACATCCACGGTTCGAGGGTCAACCGAAACCATGACAGCATCAGCAGTCTACATAGATGGTTGGGAGGAAGTAGGAAGAGCAGATTTCTGCTCACCAAGGGACGATTGAGTGGTAGGAAACTTCCTTAATTCAGGATGTAAATGAAAGCAATGACCAGAATCATGACCAAACATGCTGCAATGCATACAGTAATATGGATATTTTTCAAGCAAAACCGACTGCCAGTAATCCGTATGACTAGAGCCTATCCAAATCTCCTCCGGATGAGGCAAGGTGACATCCCTTTTTATTAATATTCTAGCAACCGAGGGCCTTGCTAAATTGAAAGTATGAGCATCAAGCATTAAAGACTTACCGTACATGGCAGCAATTGAGAATAAAATTTCATGATTGAACAAATGCACTTTCAGACCAGGAAGTTTAAGCCAAACAGAAATAATAGGAAGCTCGATTTTGGGGTCAAACTCGGTTGTCCATTTAAGGACCTTCATCCACACATCACCAAAATGGATAGTTCTATGGGCGAAAAGCTTAGCGTAATCCTCTTCATTAGAAAGTTGTATCAGAATATGTCGGCTATCTAAGGCCCTGATCTTCCACAATCCCGATAATTTCAACAACTCAAAGTTCTTCATCAAAAAATCATACTTCGACATACTTCGAAGGAATTTACCAACTAAATAAAAACGACAAGCAGAGGCGAGAATAGTGTTCTCAGAGTCAGAGAGATGTTCTCAGAGTCGGGTGTTCTCAGAGTCAGAGAGAAAAAGTGCATTTTTGCCCCCCTTACAACCTTGAGATTTAATGAAACTATATTCACCTCCTTCATGAAAAGAAGCATGAAAAGAAGAAGGAAAGGCAAACTTCGGAGGAGACTCAGATGAAGAAATCCCCACAGTGACCCCAGCGGAAGTCTTAGCCATGACCGTAAAGAGAAGAAGAGGACGAGAGGTGAACACCGAGAACGAGGAGAAAGCCAAAACCGAAAAACCGGAAGGATCTCACTAGGGGGTGCCGTCGAGATCGTGTAGTCGTTAGTATCACCGAGTCGCCACGAAATCGCCCGCAGCTCCCAACCCTAGCAGAGCTCTCGTGATCATTTCCTATAGTTCTTGTGCTTGAACGTTCAAATTTATATATATATATATATAGCCAAGAAAGTGACATCTATTAGTTAAAGACAAGTCAAAAACTCTAAGGTTGAGATGGATTCTGGTTTATAATAATATTTTTTTTTCTAAATCGAATGCATGGCATACAATTGATATATGTTTAAATTAATTGTTCTCATAAATTTTATCATGATTTATCTGTTATGTTGAAGTATTAGTCATATTGAAATGAATGCTATAAACTTTCAGCATATTTAATTTATTTATTTTATATAATGTTATTATAAAAAAAATATTAAAAGATATGAAATAAGTAAACTAGGTAAACCAAACAAAAGTGCTTGCATATGCAATGCTAACTGATAAATTTCACCCCAAATAGTATTAATTGAAAATATGAAGGTACTTGTTCACGTAAAATTGAAAAAAATATATTAATATTAAAGTACCTAAAATAGTATATTTTAAATAATACATTTCTGACAGATGTAATAGATAAAATGAAATAAACAAGATATAAAATTGCTCTTACTAGAAAATAGACCTTCAAAAAATTTTACATGACCACTTTGTAGAAATAAACTGTCAAATGACATAATATTGATTCATTAAATTTAAAAGTCATACACATTGTATAATTATTTCTTTTATATTACTATGATTCAGAAGTATGAAGTATGCATTAAATTGTTGATAACTCAAAGTAATTTAAACTCATAATTTTATTATAAAGCCTTATTCTAGAAATCAGAGGAAAAATAGAAATTGTTTGTCACATACATGGCCAAACAAGAAGAGGATATGTATATTAAGATTTAAATTGTATTTTAATTAGTTTGAATTTTATATTTTCGTCTCTTTCGATTTATTGAATAGTTAATTTCATTAATTAGTACTAGTAATTAACATTTGACTTCTTCATCTAACCATCCATCGCCGCCTTGATAAATCCATACTCTCATGTTAGATTGTGCCGCATAATTTTATTACTAATTTCCACAAAAAAATATATGGATTTTGAGTCTTGGATCGTAGGAAAAAGGATTGCCATTGCTACGATGGTGGATGGTCTTTAGCCCCCAAGGAAAGAACTAGAGTGGCAATCATGAAAAAAATATGCGCAGCTTCCTTTTCTAACATGAATAATGAGAATGACATCAAGTTATAGCACAATATCTTAGATCATCTAATTTTTTTTATCTAAAAAAGATTATTCCTACGTTATTCAAACAAAATTCTAGAACTTATCAATGCAAAAATTATCAATTTTCAAACACACTTGCAACTCTTGCCCTAGTCACACATAGAAACCAACACATACTTTTCCCTAATGCATAGTGATATGTAAGAACATCTATGATCAACAAGGTCAACAACTCTAAATGGTTTATTACATTAATTGACGATCAATCAAGAGCCAAGGGCTTGTTCATTATTAAGAATAAATATGAAGTTAGCACCATATTTCAAGATTCAGGGTAAGGGTCAAGTATCATGCCTAATAATGGACCTAAGCACTATCATTGTACCATTGCTTCGTACCTATTGGATCAAGAGATTGTTCATTATGGCACATTTATTCACTTCCCACAACAAAATTAAGTTGCATTAAGAAAAAACAGAAATCTAATTAAAGTGACTCAACCAATCATGCTTGTGTCGCATGATCTATTTCTAGAGGAAGTTTAGTTTTAGCATTTCACATCAATCAAATGCTCTTCAAATACTAAATTTCCAAACTTCAAGTCAAACTCTCCTCCAAACCAACCATCAATGCCCAAATCATCTAATTCATTCCAAACAGAATCATTAAATGCACCTCCTCGATCCACGTATATCCATAACATATCAACAAACTTGAACTCATATCGCTCACATGTATTTTCCTTCGGTACTCAGAAAACAAAAATAGTTATAAATGCTACCATCCACAAAAAAAGCCTACATTACCATGGATGTCACCTTTTAAGAAAATCAACATTTTTATGCTAACGATAATATTCAAAGGGGAAATTTTAAGGAAAATCATGTTTGAGAAATTGGTCCTGCCACTGATCCATTACTACCCTCACCACGGATCCAAATTATCTCCTAGTAAAATCCCACAATTCCAGCAAACTTGCTCAAAAGAAGTAGCCACACTTTAGAATCCAAACACAATGACACCATTAAGGAAATAATTATTTACTACAAGAGGCCGAAAATCAAAGAGTGAGCAGAGATTAAAGCACCTCTTATTTCCAACTATTAGCAAAGCATAAATCTAGAGGCCTCTCAATGTGACCTTCCCAGTCAAGAAAGTTATTACATATCTCATCAAGCATCCTATCCACAACCATGTGTCATATATAAATTAAAATTTACCTATTGCTCCATGATTGCATCTTTAATGAAGTTTCAAGTTTTAAAAAAAATTTAGGAAGCTCTAAGGAAACCTCATTATTAGAGTGTTGGCACCAAGGAAATCATTGAACTTTGGAGCAAAAAGACGGATCAGATGGAAATATACTTTCTTCATCAAGTAAAACACTAGTGGAAGCGTGAACAAATTCAAAGTTTGGTTAGTAGCCAAAGTTTTTTTGTTTTTTTCTTTCTCATTCAAATTGTTTTTGTTTAAGAAAGAAGTTTTGTTATCTATAAGAAGACAATAAATTGTCTTTTCTAATTAGACCTAGTTTGTACTCTATAATAAAGTCTTCCACATATTTCTACAAATTCTCTCTTCCTAGCTGTTTTTTTTTTAAATTTGAAGAGAGTCCAATTTAAAAATGAAAATTGCTTTTTAGCCTCAAGATTTATAACAAATAGGCATTCTTTTGGCTTTTTCTCGTAAATATTGATTTCCTTTTGCAGCCTAGATGTCATAATACCTTGCATTGACGTCAAACCAATTGATTGCAGATTACCGATTACTCTCTTAATATGCTTATATTAAGAAGTCCACACCAGGGAATGAGCCCCATTTTGAAATAGAGCTCTCTCCTTATTTATGGATTTGAAAATTTTTAAATGAAATATTTTCTTTTCATTGTATATAGAATATTAGAAATTCAAAATTTGGCAATAACTTCATTTCATCAAAAAAATTCAGACTTTGGCAAGATCCTCTTTTTGAAATAGAACTCTCTCTCTCTCTCTCTCTCTCTCTCTCTCTGCTTTTACATTTAAAAATTGTCAAATTAGAGATTTTCTCTCTCATTGTAGTTTAATATTTATTTACATGTATACCAGGGAACTATTATGTATTTATTTTATTAACACTTAAACGTTTATATTTACTTATACAACACTCTAGTAACTAAAATCACATTGAAGTATGTGCATGAAAGATGTATTTCATTTTTTATAAGTTAGTATTAATAAAAATTTTAATAAAATTGATATTATGGTGTTATATAAATAAATATAAAGATTTAGGTACAAGATAAATAAATGCATAAAAATTTGGTAACAAGTATGAAAAATCCTTCCATATAATATTAAGATTATCAAAAAACATAAAAGGTACTTACTTGAACTAACAGAATACTAAAGCAACGAAGTAAATATAATTGCATTAACATACAAATGTAGTACAAAATTTACCATCTTACGCATTTCTGGATCTTGCAAGACACCATATTGCGCCCACCTTGACCAAGATTCTAGAACAATACCATCATATTCCATTTCCCTATTCACTGACAATTAAATCTTAATGACGGCAGACAATAAAGTTAAACTGATTAATGAAATTCAATAATTAACCTATTCTACAACCAAAAAGTAGAAGATATGGATCAACACAGTTTTATCTTTTTAGAACTTTATTTCCATCCATAAAGTTGATTATATCTCCAAATAAAATATTATATAATTCAAATAAATAATAAATTTCAAGTGTTACATCATTTGAGAACTTTTACAGAAAGAAACATATCTTATGATATAATTACTAAGTAGTCATATTGTCTTTTAGTTTATCATAATTTTTTTCTATTTTATAACCTAACTTTTTAAAAAAACATGTGATGAAATATTTTAATAAAATGAATTTTTATATATCTTTAAAAAAAGAACAAGATTACATAAATAGTTGCATATACATACAAAAAAAAATGTATAGATTGAATATTTCCGAAGTTATTTAGATATGATTTGGAAATAAACTGCTGTAATATTTAATTTATATTTATTCTTAATAAATAATTTATAGCTTTTAAAGAGCTACCGTTCTGATCTACTGAATTCCTTTCTCGAATTAAACTCTATATCCCATGGTGCATCTCAGGAATTTCAAACTTTTATGTGGATGAAGTCCTTCAGTTTATCAGACTGTAAACCCCCTCGCCTTGTGAAGCATGAACACCAACACAAAATACGGACATGACATGCCAATAACATGTTATTTTCTTTCATATATTATTAACTTATATTTATTAGAATACTTGATGTCAACACTTCCTAGCAAAAAACACCAAGCAATAAAGTATAATATGATATATATTTAGAAAAAAAGCTTAAGGATAAAATAAAAACTAGTTTAATAACAATTGCATTTCAATATTCCATCAAGTATATTTAATTGTCCACAACAGACCTACATCAACACTAATTATTAGACATTATTTGGTCAACATCAAAAGTGTACCATCTACACAAAATCTAAAAAACCAAAAAAAATATGTACATAACCTTTAAAAAATTCACTAAATATGAAGACATTGAGGTATCACTAATTAAACCAAACAAACTCCGAAGCGTGGTCATCACCGCAAATCAATGTTCTCTTCAATAGCACACATTCCCTATCATTGAGATTATATGGAATTTATAGAGTTTGCTCATTGAGAAAAAAATAGTGTTTCACCATCATTGTGTCCTACTAGTTGTGTCAAACCATGTCCGAGTATCATGGAGTATCCAAGCCATGTCGGAGCGTCTCCCAACTTTGTAAGTGTCTAATTTTGGGGGAAAAAACATTCACAACATTCAGCATATTGGTTATGTGTTGAGGCATATCAGAAACATGTCTGCGTTCTACATGTTTATGACACAAAAAATGAATGGCATTTTGATGTGTGCATGCCTCATATTCCTCATTAGTCCTTTCCGATCCTCCTAAGTGCAAATATATCTTGTTCCCAGTCAAAGATTGTTTGATTCCTTTTTTGCACTTAAAATCTTTTTATTATTCTGCTTCTCAATTGAGAACGACTTCTTTTTTCATATTCTTTGTTTCCTCAGGCTTAGAGGCTTTCACATGTACTCTTGGAAGCAAGTCAATGTAATGCTCATTTTTGTTCAATTCAGGTAAAATTTCAATCATTTTGAAATATAACTAATTATTCGCATACCCCGAAAAATACAATTTACTTTTATAAAACTCTACATTTTGAAACAATCCAATTATATATAAATTATGGATACATTTGGAGTTATAAAATTTAAAATAACAACTTAATTAAATTTAATTAATCATTTAATTAACAATCCGAAATCCAGCAGCGCTGTAGCAATTCCATTTTCCACGACAAGTAGCAGTCTGATGGGTTTTTGGATGGCTGGGATTAATCATTAAACAAATAAATGTATACCGTATGCGTAAACTTTTCATTTTTCCCTGGTTTTCCTTCGGTTTCTCAACATTTCTCCCATCCCAAAAGTGTAGTGGGAGACGGGATCAAGCGGAAAGGGAGACTGAGTCTCTCATTTTGAGTCTTTGGGAAGAAATTTATAAGAGGATTTTTTTTATTTTAAGCAATTAGAACCCTTCCTCTCTACACCCCCTTTTTTGTTGCTCGTTCTGTTGCCTAAAGCGTCCTCCACGACTCCAGCACTGTAGCTGGAGGCGGGAACGAAAGCTTGGCTAACATAAACTGAGAGGTATGCTCCTGAGTAGCCACAATCTAGGAAAAACTGAGGAAATGGGGAAGAACGAAAATAAAGAAAGGAGAAGAGGAGGAAGAGAATCAAGCCAAGGAAAGCTTTGGGTGAGCAATTGATATTTTGAGATGCAATATAGATATAGAGATAAATACTTATTTATGATGAAATAAATGTTTGTTTTCATTTTGATCATTATAAAGAGCATTTAATTAATTGATTCCATTTTCATAAGATTGTTGTTTAGTTAGTGAGGAAGTGCAATTTTTTCCTAAAAACACTTGGTAGAGATTTTATTTTAATGCAGGGAAATCATATCGAGGTTAGAAATGACACTTGCATTATATTTGGGTTAAATTAAAACTTAGTTAAGGAATTTCATGAAATTCTAAAGAGTTATGCTTTCATGTAATGTACAACAAGCTCAAGCGAGCTTGTCGAAACTCATCGTGAGACTGTTCAATCAATTTTCATGAGATAATCCTGTGTCAAATTAAGAGGAATATTTTTTCAAATGATTATTATGTGATAAATTAATATGAAACTGTATTTAAAATTATGCAAATTCTCAAATACCAGCACATGTTACAGAAAAGCAAACTTGAGCTGACACTTGATTTTACTACCAATTGCTGCAGTTATAACTATATAATTATATATGCATATGAAAATTGATGTTTAACAGAAAAAAGAATCAAGCAAATGTCACAAATCTTGTGATAAGTAGACTTTTATTTCGATGACCTACATAGGCAAAAAATGATAGGAAGCTTATAGAATTTTCGACTCTTGATATTTAAACTAGAATAGACTTGTTATCAAGAGAGTTGTTGATAATTATTATGTTAGTAGATTGCTAACCTTTATCAGCAGTTGTGCAGCAGACGGGTTGGGTAACCACCCGATGAAAGGAATTATGTTAAAGTCTAGCAAGTACAAGTGACATTCCTAAAACGACAGATATTGAGTATGAAATCATTAAAAATATTCATATAATTGTGCAAGAGAAGAATGAAATATAAGTTGGTCAGTTTGGTAATGTTTTGTGTACTATTACCACTCATATTAATTATAGTTGAGCATGCACATTGCATTATTTTCGTTTATAAAATCTTACTTTAGCACTGATTATTTCATTGTGTTTGTAGCTCACTCCCGTGTGTTGTAGATTTTCAAGAAGACGTAAGGAACATCGAGGCGATTAGTCACGTGTAATATTGTACAACTTTTGGGTTGTAAAATTTTAAGTTGTAAGGACTTTTGGGTACGTATCTTTTTATGCTTGATCCTTTTCTAGGACCATTGCATATATCTTGGTGGAATTATTATGCAAGTTTATAAGATTTTGAGAATTTGAATAAATTTTGAGTTGAATTAAGATTGTGAATGTTTGCAATGATTGAGTGAGAGAAGGACTTGATTTGTGCAAGCAATTAGTGTTGGTGAGAATTTTGTCTACCAGAGTCGTCCTTCTATGTTGCCCTATTATTGTTGTTAAGCGGCGGTCAGTTGGAATGTGACAGAAATTGGTATCAGACGAGGCTGGATGAAAATAATAATGAAAACATGTCATAATAATTATATGATAAATTATATTGAATAATACATTGTGCAAATACACGTAAATGTCTAACGAAGTATCTGAAAGATATGAGGACCAGCCTTCTAGGCCAATTATAGAACGACAAATGGAATTCAAAAATAATTTGAGCATAAGTGATATTCAAAATAGGGCAAATGAATAAACCAGATTCACTTTTTTTAAATTTATTTTGATTTAAAATAGGGCAAATGAATAAACCAGATATTTAAACCTGAGCTTACTCGTGCTCAGCACGTTTACAATCCCACTCTCTTAATCAATGGGATGAGTTTGTAAGAGTTCTCAAGCATTGGTTTATTCCACCTTCAGTCAAATAAACAGTGTACGATAAGTCTTTTAATTGAACTCAGGGTCCAAGATATTTAAGTAATATGAAGCAAAATTTATTTCTTTTTTAATGTATGCACCATATTATGTCAACGCTTAGAAGGACAAATATCACCGATTTTCACAAGAACTCCAAGATCATTTGAAATAGGCATTAGCTCCTTTTGAAATTAGTGATTTTATAGTGTTAGTTAAAAAGGTCTGAAGAATTGAAAAAAGCTTAATTTCTCTCGTCAACGATGACAACCCCAAGCAAGCAAATGAAAAGATTTTGATATGGAAATATTTTCAAAATAAGAAATTTAAATTGGAAGGTAAGCAAAAGCAGATCTAGCTAGAAAAACCAATTCGTGAGAAGTGTAAGAAAATATATTTTAGTCAGTGTTTGGTTGGCTCAAGAAAATATCAGATGTGAACAGGTATGGCATCATCCAATGTATTGTCCGTTGGAAAAAAAAAGATAGCAAACCACAGATTTTTTAAGAATAGGGGCAGCTTAAAAAAGTTTTGGAAGACAATCAGTCAAACAAGATTCAATTTTTTGGAATGCCTTCAGTTCAAGCAAAAAATGAGACTTTAGAGCGTCGAAATAAGCCACCAATAAAAGCCTGAGTTTTTACAATTACCTCTCAAGAAGCTAAGAAATCCAAAGAATTGGTTACATGTATGCTTCTGATTTTAAATCATCATGTCAATTTAAATAAAATTCTTGTGAATCTGGTTTATTCATTTGCCCCACTCTCCACATGCATAAGTTTTATTTGATTTGGATGCATTTCATTCTTTTACTTTTGAAAAAGTATTTGTCAATTTATCTATTGATATTGTGTAGTTTACTCTTGCATTGTCTTATCATACCTCGAGAAATAGTTTCTACG